TAACAATTTTGAATAAAATTAGCAGCTTTTCTGTTGTTGTTGTTGTTGTTGTTAGGTGCCATCGAGTCAGTGCCAACTCATAGAGGCCCGATATACAACAGATCGAAAGAGCCAGATAAGAAATGCTTGTGTTATCTATTGCTGTGTTTGGAGACCTGGTGTGGTACTATAGGATAAGCACAGGGCTGCTAACCACAAGGATGTTGGTTCAAATCCACCAGACACTCCGATGAAACCCTATAAAAGGTCTCTATGGAGTCCTGGTGTGGTGCTGTGGGTTAATGCTCCACACTGCACAGCGTATGGTATGTTACGGTATGGTACGGTATGGTATGGTATGGTTCAAGCTCACCAGCTGCTGCTCAGAAACCCTATACAAGGTCGCTATGGGTCAGAACTGATTCAATGGCACTTAACAACAACAACATGAGTCAGTTGGAAACGACTGGAGGATATTTAACAACACCGCAGTTGCCTTTTACAGTAAAATGCCTGTTTTTAGGACATGCATAAAGTATTTAGGATGAGGAATCATGATGTCTGCAACCTGCTTAGTAATTTGCAAGCAAAAATATTTTTTAACGTCCATAGAAATACACATGCATGTTTAAATAAACACATATGGCAAACTATTTTTGAAAAGAAAACCTACTGCTAGAAACAATAGGGTATTTGTTAAAATGTAAATGCTCACGCCCACTCCAGAAATACAAAGGGTGAAGAGGTGGAAGCGAGGTTAGAGCCAGCACGGTGAAGTACCAGAAGATGATGTTGGTTTCTTACACATCTTAAAACCACTGTCTTAACTGTTAACCCCAAGTTGTCACCTCCCTGTACACAAACACAGCATCAATGAGGCTGGAGCCCTCCTGAAGACAAATGACCCTCCCAGGGGTGAGCCTTCCCTGGGCAACACAGTCCTCCCCTCACCTCACCCCAACCAGCCTCAACTATCAGGTAACACTAGTTACCTGCCAGGCCTCTGGTCGCCCTAAAGAGACCTTTGGGCACCTGTTGGCTGGCTGGGCCTCCCAGCAGAGATCAGTCCAGCACCTGACCCTGTGAAAGAGTCCCAGTGGCCTTGGGCTTCTGACTCCCTGACACTCCCACTCCCCAAATAGGCTGAAGGCAAGCACCCCACGGGGATGTGATGCCCCAGGTTCCCTGGCCGTTTCTGGAGGGAACCTCCCTCAGTGCCGTGTCTGAGACCAGGAAATCCTGGTACCTAAGGTGGAAGTTCGAGCCCCAGTGTGGTCACTATCTAGACTCGTCACTTAGTCACTGGATCTCCTCGTCCTCCTCAAGTTCATCTTAAAGGACCAAGTGCCAGACTCCAGACCCCAAGCGGACACGCCCCCACCACAGCGGGGAGAAGGACCACGGCGGGGTGGCGCCGCGGGGGCTTGTGGGGTGCGACCGGACCGGCTCCCAGCGCCCCCCGCGCATCCCCGACGCCCGATGCTCACCCCGCCGCCGCTGACCGCGCCGATGCCATCGAACTCCCGGCCCAGCCCGTCGGAGTCGTCGAGCACGTACGCGCCGCCGGGCGCCAGCAGCGCGCACAGCAGCAAAGGCACCGCGGCACGGCCCGCCGAACCCGCGGCAGCTGTCATCGCTTTCACTCCGCGTTGCCGGGAAGCCTCTAGTAGGCGCTCAGCCATTGTGTGGGTCACATGACTCTGGCGCCCAGGGAGGCGGGTCAGGCCGCCGCCATGATGGAGAATGGCAGGAGGCCGCTGACGCCGCCATCTTGCGTGCGGGCCACGGGCCGCCTACGCAGCCGCAGAGCGAGCCTTTTCGTGACTCACCTGAACATTATCTGGGCGGGTCTCCCACGTGCCAGTGGATGGTGGAGCAAGATGGAGGACGGGGGCTGGAAGACCCTAAGCAAGCTCCAGCTCCGTATCACCTTGGTCGAGTCACTTCTCTCTGTGCCTAGGTTTCCTCTTACGTAAAATAAGGCAAGAAGAGAAGGCCTGTAGGGGACATACTGTTAAAAGAGTTGAAAGAATAGTAGGCACTAAGAACATTGATAATTAAACGTGTTACAGTGCACTTGGCAGACAGAAGTTAGCTGAGAACGCCCTCCATTCTGGTAACTGCATTGTTATTCAGGACTTTTAGCTTCAGAAGCGACCTTCTACTGCACGTTCAAGTGATTCCAGACACATAAGCCTTAATTTTGGTAGAAAGTAGTGAAATGTCCAGGGGTTTCGCTATGTCCAGCACTGTCCTGCCATCCCCGATTCACTTGGTGTTGGAGCTCATTGAGGAGACTGAGACGCTGTGGAGAAACTTTTCTGATCACAAAGCTGCTATTGGTAGAGTCCCTGGATTGGTTGTCCGCAGAAGCCATAGGAAGTCCTGAATGCCAACAGAGGAAATGACAAGATCCGGAGGCTATATATAGTACACGAGGGGCTTTATCTGCAGGGCCTAATGTGGAATCTATTTTACTCCTTAACCTCAGACCTAAATTTCAGTTTCAGGGCCACAAATAGAATTGTTGTTAAGTGCCATGGAGTCAATTCCAACTTACAGGGATCTTGTACAGGGTTTCCGAGGAGCAACTGGTAGGTTTGAACCGCCGACTTTGTGGTTCGAAGTCCAGTGCCACACCAGTACTCCAAGTAGAACTATACTAAAATCTAAAGCTATTCCTGGGCAGTCCTATAAATTGTTGTTGTGCCCGTATAGTCGTTTCCGGCTTATAGCGACCCTGTACAGGGTTTCCAAGGAGCGGCTGGTGAGTTTGATCTGCCGCCCTTGTGGCTCAAACCAACCTTGCGGTCCAGTGCTTTCTCCCACCTTGTGACATTTCCAGGATCTTAGTGGACACTTACTATGCTGCTTTTCTCTCTTTTTAAATAACACCAGGTTTATTCAAGTGTACCTAGGACAATCTCTGTTTATGATCCCTGTCTCAACAGAATTATTAATAGTATCCCCCATTCAGCTTCAACAGTGTTCTGACTTGGGTTGTTAGTTATTATATGCCATCTAGTTGGATCCAATTCATAGCCACACTGAATAGGGTTTCCACCAAGTGGCTGATGGGTTTGAACCCCTGACCTCGTGGTTAGCAGCCCAGTGCTTACCCTACAGGATCACACCACTTTATATTTGGTGAAGGTGGTGGTGTGCTGTGGAGTCAGTTGTAGCTCATAGTGACCCTGTATAGGGTTTCTAAGACTGTAAATCTTTATGGGAGCAGAAAGCCTAATTTTTCTCCTGAGGAGCCACTGGGATTCAAACTGCTGACCCTGAGGTTCACAGTCAAACATGTAAGCACTATGCTACCATGACTCTACATTATAAATATTGTTGTTATTAAGTGTCATCGAGTTGGTTCCTACCCACAGTGACCCTGTATAGGGTTTCCGAGGAGCAGCTGGTGAGCTTGAATCACTGACCTTGTGGTTCAAACTGACTTTGTAGTCCAGCACATTAGCCCACAGCGCCATATCAGGACTACTATGTTGTTGTTCCTGTTGTTACGTTCTGTGGAGTCAGCTCCAACCCTGTATAGGGTTTCTGAGGAGCAGCTGGTGAACTTGAACGGCGACCTAGTGTTTGAACTATGGGTGAACCGAGGAAAATACCTTACAAGTGAAATTAAGAAGTTGAAACCAGCACCCAAGCATTCACTGTACCTTGTTCCCAGGAAGGCAGGCAACAATTATCTATAACATGCAAACTGAAAAAGAGGAAACAATCTGTAACCATATAGGTAACCTCACCCTTAGCAAACGCCACTAGTTCCTATTAGTTCATATACCAATACAATTGTTTACCAGACAAAACATTTCCGTTGTTCCTAGTGTCTAGTGTCTACTGGGAAGTCTGTTAGACAAGAAAGTTTCTAACACGAAGGTAGACAAGCTGAAGAAGCCATGGACAGCTGAACATGATGTTGACAGTAGTTTAAGATGTGCGCTAAAGAAATGGGCAGTTATCAAACAAATGCTTACGTGTTAGGCTTTCCCTGCATCTGTGGCCTCAAGGTCAGTGAGACAAACAAGACATTGGGGCTGGAGTTCCGGTTCTCAAATACCAAATGAGTTTTAAAATAAGGAGAGGTTTCCTCTTATTAGTTACTATTTCTGAGGGTCTCAATACTGATGCATCAGACTCCGAAAATCTCTCCTTTTTCTAAAGTCAAAAATGTGGTCAAAATCAAAAGGTGTCTTGAAAAATATGCGATTCCGTCTATGAATGGATATTTACGGTAAGTTCAGTAGCAATCTGCTGTCTCCATTTAGAAAATGGTTTTACTTTTAGACATCTGAATCTGGCTTTCAGACCCTCAGGGGCAGACACCGAGTCTGTTTCCTCATTGTACTTCACAAGCACAGTGTCCAATTTATGGTTGTTGTTGTTAAGTGCCACCGAATTGTTTCCAACTCATAGCGACCCTATACAGGGTTTTTAAGGCTTTAAATCTTTTCAAGAGCAGAAAGCCTTATCTTTCTCCCTCAGAGCGGCTGGTGGACTCAAACCACCAACCTGTGGTTCATAATCAAGTGCTTATAGTACAGAACCACTAGCCTCCCCAACCCACAGTTGTTGTTAAGTGTCATAAAGTCAGTTCCACCTCATAGCAACCCTGTATACGGTTTCTGAAGAGGGGCTGGTGGTTTGAACAGCTGACCTTACAGTTAGCAGATCAGTACTTATCCTACAGTGCTACACCAGAACTCTCAACCCATGGTGGTGGTGGTGTTGTTACGTGCAATTGAGTAGGTCTGACTCATAGCGACCCTGCATAGGATTTCCAAGGAGCAGCTGGTAGATTTGAACTGCCAAACTAATGGTTCACAGTCTAGTGCTGATTCTACAGTGCCACACCGGTTGTTATTGTTAAATGCCATCGAGTCTCACGGTGACTCTGTATAGGGTTTCCGAGGAGCAGTTGGTGGGTTTGAACTAGTCCAGTACTTGTCCCAAAAATATTAGTCGTACTGAACTTAAATAAATAAATGAATCACTGAATGATCACATAAGGTGGACAAAAGGAATTCTATAGAAGAGGAGATGGAAACAGCTCTGAAAGTAGCAGCATAAAGAGCTTTGACGTATCTTTTGTTCTTGAACTAGGTAGTGATATCTGCTGTTTACCATTGCCTCAGCCTATCTTGAACTAGGTTGTAATACCTACTGTTTATCATGGCCTCAGCCTGCCCAGTAGCTGCTCTCTAAATAAATGAAGAGGGCCTGTTTACTCAGGGCTTTGTGTATTCTTCGTAAAGAAAATGAAAATGGTTGAGAAGAAAGAATTCATACAATGGAATTTGTTATTTGTGTTTTGTTTTGTTGACCTTTTGGCTCAAGTTTAATTCTATTAAGAAAACTCTCAACAAGGACATACAAATGCATTTCCTGGAATCCAAGAACTAAGTTAACCAGAGTTCCAAAATTTGCTGCAGTCAAGTAGATTACAGCTCATAAGGACCCCTCATGTGCAGTTTTCTTGGCTACAATCTCTAGGAAAGCAGATCTCCAAATCTTTTTTCTAAGGCACTATGAGTGAGTTCAAACCACCTACCTTTTGGTTTGGGCTAGTAGTCAAGTGCCAAACATTTCCATTACTCAGAGACCTGCTGGTACATGGTGGTAATTCTAGAACATGACTTATAAGACTTTTCATTCCATCTCCCTTGCTTAGAAGGGACTGTCTTTCTTAGCAGTGGCCTTGTAGGAGAAGGTTTAGAATCAAGCCTTTACTGAGATCCTTCTCCTCTTGTTGTTAGGTGATGTTGAGCTATCTCTGGCTCACAGCGACCCTGTGCACAGCAGAGCGAAGCACTGCTGATACCTGCATCTCCCTCATATTTGTTGTTACGTTTGAGCCCATTGCTGCCTTCACTGTGTCAAATCCACCTCCTTGGGGCTTTTCCTCTTTGTCGCCGACCCTCCACTTTACCAAGCATGGTGTCCTTCTCCAGGGACTGGTTCCTCCTGATAATATGTCTTAAGTATGTGAGACAAAGTCTCACCATTCCTGGCTTCTAAGGAGTATTCTGACTGTACTTCTTCTAACATAGATTTGTTTGTTTTTTTGGCAATCCATGGAACTTTTTTTCTTTTTATTGTGAATTGAGTGATACTTTACATGGGAGAACATCAATTTTACACTCATCGTTTCATTGCAAAGATTACTCTCTCCTCTGTGGGAAGTCGTTGTTTGTATTGTTGTTAGATGCCATTGAATGAGTTCCGACTCATAGCAGCCTTAAGAACCACATTGCACAGTCCTTCCCGTCCTCCCAGTTCCTATTACCTATGAGCCCATTGCTTCTACCACTGTGTCAGTCCATCTGACTGGAGGAACTTCCTCTGTTTTACTGACTCTCCATTCTGGGAATTTCTTTCTTTCTTGTCTTTTAAATGACATTTTGCATAATTCCTGTATGATGTTCTTGCTGTTATCCCAGACCTCTTCTCGTTTTCAGTCATTAGTGTCTAATTCATCAAATCTGTTTTTGAAATGTTCTCTAAATTCAGGTGGGATATATTCAAGGTCCTCTTTTGGCTCTCATGAACTTGTTTGAATTTTCTTCAGCCTGAATTTGCATACGAGCAATTGATGTTCTTCCCACAGTCCGCTCCTAGACTTGTTTTGGCTGATAATATTGAATTTTCACCATCCCATCTCACAGAT